CACTCAGCACTAGAAGGACAATGCTTGTAGTTTGAATCACTCAACTCTAAATGTTGAAATACACGGCGATAGTAAAGAGCACTTTCAAGCATAAGATATGTCGAGTTCCACCTAGTTGGTACATCTTGACACAACCCTTTCTTATCACCAATTGCAACTAACTTCACACAATCTAAGAACTTTTACTTCCTCACTTGGGATCCCTTGACATATTTGACACTATCACGAATCTTAACAATTGAATCATCAATCTGCTTCAAACCCTCTTGCACAACTAAATTTAGTATGTGTGCACAACATCGCATGTGAAATAGATCGCCATTGTGTACAAGAACCCCTTTGGCAACTAGTTGCTCCCTTAACATGTCAACCGAAACACCATTTGTAGAAGCATTATCCGAAATACCTGTTTGCTTGCAGCGGAGAAATAGGCGTCGAGTGGAGAGGAACGGTGGCGAGTGGAGAGGAAAGAAGGTGAGTGGAGAGGAAAGAAGAAGAAGAGAAAGAAGAAGACACTGGCGTGAGGCGGTGGTTCGGTGGACTGAGGTCAGGCGGTGGTCCGGTGGATTGAGAAGCGGAGGAGAGGAGAGTTGAGAGAGAGTGGCGAAGAGAAGAAGTTTGGCTGCTGGGTTTCGTTTTGAAATGTGGGCGGCTAGGGTTGGGGAAAACAAACAAATTAGGGTTAAATGTTGAATAATATATTAATATAATAATATTGAAACATTTTTAACCTAGGTAATAAATAGGTAATAAACGGGTTATATAATCGTGTTACCCAAATATGACACGTTTAATATACGGGTTATTGCGGGTCAATTACGGGTTGGCGGGTCAACCTAAAAATGACCCGTTATTTAATCGTGTTTCACGGGTTCAACCTGATTTTGACCCGGACCTATTTATGATAAACCCAAACCCGCTCATTTCGTGCGGGTTTCGAGTCGTGTCGATACCCGGATTGCTAGCCCTAAATAAATATAAAAATTTAAATAGTCTATACAAATATGACAAAAATATATAATTTATGACTATCTCGTCAAAATTTGTTTCAAAAAAATCAATAAGACAAGACCTTAGTAAATAAAAAGAATACACTCACAATCATTAAACATAAGACGGTTTTAAGACTATAAAATCAAAATAAAATAAAAAAATGAATACTATTCATAATTAAGATTCTCGAAGTCCGGCTTGATTCATGATCTCTTATGAGGTGTCGGTTCATATTGATTTATGAATTTAAAACTTTGTTCATTTCAGGACTCAAGTCATATTGTTAAAATATATTGTCACATAAATTTAAATTCAACTTGTTGTTACAATATTTTTCTCTCACATATATAATCTAAATCATGACTTGAATTGACTCTCATTCATTTTACCGATTCAAATTTAAAATTCGAGTTTTGCACAGTAAAAAACTCTTAAAAACAGTCACATCTAACTTTTTTGTTATTATAAAAAATTTTCACATAAAATCACGTCTCAACTCAAATTAAAAACCTGAATCAACGAACTAAATAGGCTCACATCAAGGTCCACTACATTTCCATCACGATGGATCCATGCTTACATCTCTATAGTTTATATTAGATTTTTTTTTTCTTTTTGATAAAGAGCACATGTAGTAAAACTCAACCCAAGAGAAATATTCAAAGCTGACAATTAATAATAATTTTAAAATGTGACAGGGAATTGTAGTGACTGGTGTGACATACTACTTACAAGCATGGGTAATTGAGAAGAAGGGACCCGTTTTCTTAGCCATGTGGACACCTTTGGCCTTAATCATTACAATATGTTCTTCAGCAATTCTCTTGGACGAGGTCATCACTTTAGGAAGGTAAACTTATAATAAGCACATTAAGGCCCCCTAAAAAATTATTAGAAATAATTATATTTAATTTTTTTATTATAATAAAAATTTTCACATCTCAATTTAAATTAAAAACTTAAATTAACGAACAAAATATATCCTAATATTGTGCGTATTTTTATCCAAAAAAAAAAAATAATTGTGCATATTGTGCCATTAATTTTCTTTTATCTCCTATCTAATCAAATCTAGTGTAGTCTGAATCTATTTGTCAAAAGAGATTGCATCTCTTTGATCATTTGACCTCTTCTTTTTCCCTTTGTGTTTTGTTTTTATTTTTTTTACTTTTTCTCATTCTTTTCACTTTTAATTTCTTACTTTTTTTTTCTCTTAAAACTCTTTATTTTTAGCATTTCCTCCTTTTCTTTTTTAAACTTTCTTTTTTAATTTTTTCTTTTCTTTGGTCTATTGTCCTTTTTTATCTAACATTTTTTAACAGTTCATGTTTTTTACAATATCTTTCATTAAAATACTTTCTTTTTCTTACTTATTTTTAATTAAAATAATTCTTTCAAATATCTCCATACTTTTTTTTTTTGGGGTCAAAAACTCCTACAAAACTTTAATTATTTTTCTATATGATTTTTTAAAATATTTTCTTCCTCAATTAATGGAGTCAGCTTTTGAAGACGCCACATATTTTAATACGAGATCAAACTTATAAAATTACTCTTCACGTACATAACGGTGGCTCAACTAGTCACTAAAAAAGTCTCTCTTTTTCATTTGTTAATTAAGGCCTTATTTATTTTCAAAAAACAATTGAGGCCTTAGTTGACCATGCCGACTACATTTTTTATCCCGTTTATTTCACTGATTCGAGTTTTGTTACAGTAAAAAGCTCTAAAAAATAATCACATCTAACTTTTTTGCTACAGTAAAAAACTCTCACATAAAGTCACATCTCAACTCGAATCAGCGAACTAAACATACCCTAACTATAAAAGTTTCAAAGTTCAAAGGTACATATTTTACAAAACAAAAGACTTATTTTCTCAAGAGATTTTATTTTTTTTTAGTTTTATTAAATAAAAAGTAACAAAACATAAACATTACCGGGCACAATACCTCTTTCATTACTTGTCTTTTTTTTTTTTTTTTTGGTTAAAGAAAGGCGATGTATTTTTTTTTTTTTTTTAAATCTTATGATTTGCACTGAGTAATTATAAGGTTTTTTTTTTTTTTTCCCCTCTCATGCTTGCAGTATTTTAGGTGGGATGTTGTTGATCTTAGGGCTTTACAGCGTTTTGTGGGGAAAGAGCAAAGAACGGGAGAAAACTGTTGAGATCAGTAGTTTACCAGTCGAGAAAGAAAGTTCAGAATTAAAAGAAATTGTAGTAACAAAGAGTATTGTATAATATATTTTATGCAAATTTATTTATGCATTAAATACGCCAAGCGAAAATGAGAAAAAAAGAGCTAAAATACTGGATCTGATCAATCCACATCGAAAAATAAATATTAACGTAGTTAGCTTGCAAGCAATGCTTGAATAATATTAAAGTAGTCGTTGTATTTTTTGTTATCATTGATAGTATTAATGAAAATTATTTTTGATTATATATTGAATACTCGTGTCAATTTCTTAAAGCATATATCAAAAGAGACCATGAATTAGGATTGCGAGCAATATATGATTTGTTGTATGTCGGAGAGTTAATTGTTGCTAAATTTTTTTCATTTAAAATCGGATTATCATTACATAGTTCCCTTTGGATAATGAATTGATTTAATTTGATTCTATACAAAAAATGGGCAAGTACACAAAATTACAAAAGTGGGACTAAATAGAGAAATACTAGAGATATTTGCTACTAGTATTTTGCCAGATTTTGTGGAGATATTTTTGTGCGAGTAACGCACTTATTCTTGGACTTTTTAGTTTAGCTTTTAGTTTTTAAGATATTATATAAACTTTGTTGTGAAATACATCACAAAGATTGTCACAAGGAGGCGTGCACTATTATAATTCATAGTGGACATTAAGGTCCTGTTCATTTCACCGATTCGATTTTAGAATTCGAGTTTTACTACTGTGAAAAGCTCTCAAAAACAGTCACATCTAACATTTTTACTACAATAAAAAGCTCTCACATAAAATCACATCTTAACTCGAATTAAAAACTCAAATCAGCGAACTAAATGGGTCCTCATTCTAATTTCTCGCGAATGTGGGCCTAAACCTAACCTAAAGAGCTGCATGGAACGTTTTCTATGCACAATTTTTAAGGGAATTTTGTCTATATACCATGCAAACCACTTAATCCATACATACCAATATTATGTGACGATTTCAAGTTAATATGAAGTTATCTTTTATTTTTTTATTAAAATATTTTTGTTTTATATAACCAAAGATGAATGTCACGCGTTAATTGCACAAGCCCAGTTCCGAAATCCCCATCCAAAAAAAAAAAAATACAGTTCCGAAATAAAAGCTGTGGCAACATTTACACAATGAAAGAGACAAGAGAAGTGAAAAATGATGCACATATATATATATAAAGTAAGAATTTAAAACAATCTCTACTCGTATAAAGCCAATATATGTCCACACAAAAAAGAAAGGCTGAAAGAAGCAATTTGAATTAAAAAAGATAACACCAAAAAATAAAAATAAAAAAGTCCTCTCAAAAAAAGTTACCATGAAAGGCGAGAAACATGAACATTTTTGTTACAAGCCTTTTTCGTCAAACTTTGGGAGTCTCTTCAGCACTTAATTCCTTCTCCTCTGTGACCTTTTTTTCCTCGGAGTCAATTCCTTTATCACTTTTCTCTTCACCCTTTTCCTTGGCATTCTCTTCCACGGGTTTTTCTTGACCATTTCCCTCAACTTTCTCGTGATCCTTTTCCTCAGTCGTTACTCGGGCATTTTCCTTGTCACTTTCCTCCACTTTTTCTGAGATGTTTTCCTTATCAGGTTCTGCTTCTGTTACTTTCTCGGCTGGTGCACCATCAATAATAGCCTCTGGGGCAGGAGTCTCTTCGGCCTTTGTCTCGGATTTCTCAGTTTCCGGGACTAAGTTTTCGGGTTCGTCTTTGCCGTTTTCGGTCTCTGATGCTTCTTGTTTCACTTGCTCTGATGGAGCCTTCTCCTCATTTTCGGTTGAATCTTTCACTTCTTCATTCTGCAAAATGCTCAGAAATTTAATACATCATACACGTTTGGAATTATTAGCTTTTTACTATAGGATATCTCTAGTGTATATCCTTAAACATTAGATCCGATCAAAATCACGTTAAAAATGAAAAAGAATGAAACAGTAATAAAAACTGATACAGATCTACGGATATATTACTTGGTGGTACTATGTCATGATATTAACAAAACACCATCTATAGGATAACGGGCCGGGGAAAATGAGTCTTTTTTTCCTAAATTTTGGGACAGCCATGCATCAAAAAACAAGAGAAGTCGATTGTCATAAATAATGAGAAAAGGAGACACACAATCATAAAAAAAATAAATAAATAAGAACAGACACTGATAATTATAAGAAAAGAAAATGAATTAACTGTATATCGGATGATGAAATTCTTTCAACAAAAATATAGTAAAGATAATTATCAAAAACGACAACTAAACTAGTGAAGTAAACAACATTAAAACTTTGCAAAACGGCATCAAGCTCCCTCCATCAGATAATCTACTCACATGCACAGATGTATTGCTCGTTGAGAGATTCTAAGTCTGACATATTAGTAGGTCATTCACATACTTTTTAACTTTTATGTGATTTTATGTAGATTCGACGAATAAAAAATTTAACCCACTGGTATGTTGGCGTACTAACGATAAAACAAAAAAAATAAATAAATTAACAGATTTAACTTTAAAAAAAAAATCAAGTTAAGCATTATTATATGCTGCCCCACCAACTCGGCAAGTCCTAAATAGTATCAATCAACAGTCATTTGCAATACCAGATTAATCTCTTTTTAGCCTGGGCCCTGGATTGACGAGTCACATAACAACTACATGTAAAGGGTAAAAATAAATCTAAGTCCTTCATGTTTAAACACAACGATAAATACCAATGTTATAATTATCACAAATAAACCTAAATCATGCTTAAGCATACAAACACAAGAGGAAACTTCAGAGATAGGAAGAGAATCTGGATATTTTTTGGTCATTCACAAGAGGCATAAAGGTGACCAAAACGACAAAGAGGATCCAAACAGCAACAGGAATTCTGAAGTAGGACGCGTTTGTTTGTCGTATAATGAAGATGTCATGGAATGTCTAAGATATTATGTACAGATTCATTATTACAGTGTTTGCTATTCCATTATCAATCACATCTTATGACTAGTGTTTTATCACTTATCCAACCAAAAAACATGCGAAAATTAATAATAATAATAAAAAGAAGCCTATCTAAATAATGCTGATGAGACAGTTGATGATGAGCAGTAATAAAATGTATCGTGATAGAAGGGAGCGTCTCGCAACATTTTCATTTTCAAATTTTTCTTTTTAAGGGAAAATGTTTTACAACTCAACATGTGGGAGTCCGTCATGAATCTAATCCCGACCCCACTTGAATAGGAATAAATAGTACTATTCTATTTTTTTTATATTTTACCTTCATATATTTCCCTCTTTACGTTATATCCGTCTAAATTAAAGTGAGGTTAGAGCCGAAAAATCTCCGGTACTCATTTTACGGATTCAAATTTTCAATTTGAATTGAGATATGATATTTTTTTAGAGCTTTTTACTGTAGCAGAAAATTTTGATGTGACATTTTTTGAGAGCTTTTTACTGTAGAAACTTAAAATTGAAAACTCGAATCGGTGAAATGAACGAAGCCTAAGACTGTGTTTGGAGTTGTTTTTGTTTTTATTTTTCACGTTTTTTGAGAAAGAAAAAATAAAAACGAGAGAGAAATGACGTTTGGCACAATTAAAGACAAAAAACAGAAATGAAAATAATTTTTTAGTTTAGTATAAAATGGGAGAGAACTGAAAAACGATTTTTAGTTGTAATTCATTTTTTGTTTTCTTCTCTCTCGAGTAGAGAGAGAGATAAAGACATTAATGTATTTTTTTATACTAAAAAAAATCTCTTGATAAAACTACCAAACGCATTTTTAAAAATAATTTCTGTTTGAGATTGAAAATGTTTTCATTTCCATTTTCATACAAAAAACAAAATCATTTTGAAACGAGTTCCAAACGCGTCCTTAAATTTTAACTATTAAGAGCTAGCCATTCTTACAACAATATTATTAAAACTCAAAAACATATTGTATTAAATCAGAAATATTTCTACTAATTTCTCATGAAAACAAACTAAAATCTTAAAACTTAATTTAAACACCAATAATAATAAACTAAGTCTTAGAACTAAATTCAAACTCAAATAATACAAAATTAAATTCTATATTATATATCGGATCGGGTCAGGTCGGTCGGGCGCTTTCGGTCTCTGATACTATATATTTTCATACCCCGTCATGTCACCCCTACTACTAATTATTCGATTTGATATAATTAGTATACTTTAGTATGTATCTTATTGGCCTTTTAAAGGTGGGAACAAAATGGACATAACCGCACAAATGCTTAATTGTCAATAAATAATACAGACACTTAGTTCTATAACATAATTAAAAACAAAAACAAAAAACAATTCAGATACTTGGCACTCTAGCACGATAAAAACATGAATTGAAGTTGAACCATCAAAGTTTGCTTTTTCCCGATTAGTCACTCACCTTATTTGTTTATTAAATCATATCATGCTTAGCCCTTATAGAATTTTTCTAAAAAAGCTATTACCGCGTTAAAATTTTATTCAATTGTACGGATTTACCACTTTTCTAATAGAATCGTAAATTTTATGCTCTACATACTTTTTTAATCTGATATAATTTTAACTAGATTTTGTGGTCAGAAATAGACACTTTCAGAAAAATTTAAAAAGAAAATACAAACTCAACAAAACAATCATGTCATTCTTGTATATATGAAAATCTGGGATGTGGACGTGACATTAGACAACAGTACGAGGACATGGACCAGAGGAAATAAAGTGGTGAGAATATGATGTTTTATCAAGGAATCTCTTATTAATTTTTAAAGTACCCGGGACCATGATGATTGTATTAATTTAAGACTTAAAAGTACTAATGGCTAATCAGTGCTAATTATCTGTTTAATCGACTACAGAATTAATGCTGCTTGAAAACGGAAGAGAAAGTTGAAACGTTTTGTTTTGTCCCCCAAAACCAGCTAAGCATAAAATATTAATGTTGTTAACTACTGTGTCTGTTTAAAGTTTTAACGTACCCAAAAGCTAAAACAAAAAAACAAAAAACAAAAATCATTAAAATCGACGAACGACCACTTCTGTTCATAATTATCTGCTAAAAAAAAAAGTAAAATATCAACAATAGGAAGAAGAAAGGAAAAAATTGATTTTTTAAATTAAAAAAAAAAAAAAACACGAAAGTTAGGCACACCTTTTTTGTGGAGATGTTAGAATGAATTAGACTCATTTTCCAAGACTTCCCGTCTTTCTCGGCGAGAACAAATACTACACTTATCTTAATAAAAACCGAAAAATCATTTAACATATGATAACACCTTCCACTTTTAAATAAATTAAAAAAAAAAAAACTATGCACAAAAATAGTAATAAAAAACGAAACAACATAATAATAATAAATAAAAAACAAACCTTGAACATAACAATAATATTAAATTAACTGATAAAACCAAAAGAAATTAATTACCTCCTTGAACAAGTTGCTGAGAGAGCGTCGCTTATTATTGGATTGGTCTTGCTCATCGCCGGCGGCCTTGTCATAATCAACAATCTCCTTGATCTTATCATTTCCTTCTTTTTCTTCTTCTTTTTCTTCTTCAACTTTCTTCTTCTCATCGTGTTCGGCCTCCGCAACCACCACCTCCTTCTCCTTCTCCTTCGGCTCGGCTTCCCCCTTAGCCGGCTCAGGCGCCGCCGCAAGATCCCGCGCCGTCTCGGGGTTCAACACCTTCGGTTTCGTCGCGCAGCCTCCCATTTCGATCGACAAACGATCTCCGACGACGTCGTTTCCTTGATGATCGGACACTCCCTCTCTACGAAAATCTCTATTATAATACGTTCCTCTATTTTGGATTATTGTTGTTTTTTTCTTTATGGAAGGAAGAAACAGAGGAGAGAAAGTATAATATGAGAGAAGAGATGGAGAGAGAGTTTAGGAATAGATTTATAAGGACACAGGAGAGAGAGAGAGAGAGAGAGAGAGAGAGAGAGAGAGAGAGAGAGAGAGAGAGAGAGAGAGAGAGAGGGAGAGAGAGAGAGAGAGAGAGAGAGAGAGAGGTAGGCTAGCTTTGTCGTTCCCGACATTTGTTCTGAAGCGAAGAAAACAGACATTACATTGTATAAAAAAAAAATATAACATGATTGAATTATATTTTTCTTTTATTTATTTATTTTAATTGTATAAAGGGAAGAAATTGCATTTAGCACCCTCTGTTTCATAAAAGTCTTATTCATTTTACCGATTTGAGTTTAAAATTTGAGTTTTATTATAGTAAAAAATTCTAAAAAATAGTCACATTTAACTTTTTATTACAGTAAAAAACTATTACATAAAGTCACATCTCAACTCGAATTAAAAACTCGAATCAGCAAATTAAACGGGCAAAAAATTAGTCAATTTTATCAAAGAGATAAATGCATCAGTATTTTTTTTTAATAATTTGATCTCACTATTTAGATAATACTAAATGACTATCTTATATTTTTTTTAAAATATATCCTCTCAAAATTCTTAAATTCTTTTTATAAGATCGAAATTGTCCTTCCTTTCAATCCATGGACATATTAAAGAGAAAATAATATTAAAAATAAAAAAGAAAGAAAAGGCCTTTAATTTCTGTTGTTTCTTGATTTTTGTATTATTTTTAAATGTGTATATAATAAATAAATTAATTTGGAGTTTTTATTTAAAATAGCATAATAAACATTTTTTTAAGTTATATTAAAAAACGCTGCGGGGGTATGATTGTATAATGCATGAATTCACTAATTCTATAAAATTAGAGTATAGTAACATATATTTTTTCATTATTTAAAGCAGTGCCATTCATATATGACTATGCAAGTATACACGATACGGTTGTAGAATGAAACTATCACATGGTGAAATAATAAACTTATTAAATTTGATATTTTTATATGACAATTTTGATGTACTAACACGTATTTAGTAATTGCATCGTATTTTTTTTTTTAAAGTTTTTTGTATATTTACTTTTCAGGCCTTCAGGGTACAGAAGCTGAAACTGAAAAAATAGTAGCCTAGTAGGAAGATGAAAGAGTACAATTTCCCCCTTTTTAATAAGTTTTGAGGAGTGAAAAGAAATTATGAACGGTTAAATTAAAAAAGACTAGAAAAAGTATAATTTGCATGTCAATAAAAAATTAAATAAATAACCAGCTATTTAGGCATATTAGAGTTAGTTTAATGGTTCAATATTTGATATAACATTGCTTCCATTACAAAATAGGTTGAATTGGAAACTAGAGCACTGAAAGTACTATTTAATGTTGAATTGTGGTAATACTAAAGTTAGTTTAATTATAATTATATCACGGAATAAACTATCTACATTTATTATATTTACTATTTTTTGGCTGAAAAAAAAAGTTGAAAAAGTACTCTTAAGTATATTAAAGGCCAACGCATGCATGGAGCTGGGTATTTTTACAAGGAAGTATGAATTTATATAAAAATTTTAGAATACAATAATAGTAAGACGAACACATATATACTAGTAATCTAAATTAACAATACAGTACAATTAAAGTAAAAATTACAGGTGCAAAATAATTTTTTTTTAAAATATATAATTTGAAATTAAAAGAGAAAGAAGGGTTACTACAATTAATTTAAGAAAATTTTAATGGAGGCACACATGTCCCTTGGATCCAAAATGGCTCCATCCCTTGTGACAATTTAACAAGTTTCAAGAATTTAAATTTAACTTACCCCCTCATGCACTAATAATGTCATATTAATTTACTAACATTTTCAAAAAGTACTAAGATCATGTTAGTTTTGTTAGTTCAAATTACAATTCAAGTTTTTATTACAATATTTTCTCTTACAAAAATTTAAATTTAATTTTTTCAACTATAACGTTTTCTCTTACATGAATACACTTTTTAACTCAAGTTATTAATTCGAACGAGTGAAACTTATGAAGCCTTTTAAACTATCATACCCATTCTCTTGTGACTATAGGTATAGCCACAGAATAAATCCATAACTTTTCTATATAATATTGAGGTCTAACATTTGAACATCTCCCCACCTTAATTAGAGCAACTCCAACTATGTTAGCTATTTCGTGTTTTTAGCTAAAATAGCTAATGATTTAGCTAGAATTTAACTTTTCTTCACTCCAACCATTAACTAAATGGTTAGCTATTTTAGAGAATTCATTTCACACTAGCTAAATATAGCTAGAAAGAAGTGGCTAACTATTTAATTTTTTATATTATTTTATTGTTTCATGCCCAATAAATGTAAAGGTTCTTTTTTAAATTAAATAAAATTATTCATATTTAAATTCAATAAATATTAAAATAATTTATGTTTAGCTAAAATAAAGAGTATAATTAGAGTGACTTAACAAAAAGGCGCTAACTAAAATAACTCTTTAGTTATTTTAGCTAGAATTTAGCTAAAAAAATAGAGAGTTCCCTTAGACATGCTCTTAAGTAAGAGAACTATAACCTTTCCGTTGAATAATATTGTTCGTTACTAATTGGTATTTTAGTTTTGAGGGAGAGAAGTAAGGGATGGTGTACAAGGCTAAATGGGGTATATAAATTAATTTTAAAAATAAAAAAAAATAAAAGATTAGTGTTAAACACTACTACTAATATAATAAAATGACGGGCTTCATATGTAGGTCTCATGCCAGAAACTCATAATAAGGGGTTGTTTGGTTAGGGGATTCGTACCCCGATTCGAATCATAATTCATGATTCGCTACAGTGTTTTCTCTCAAAAAAATACACGTAAATCGAAAATGATTCTAATCTCATTATTTTAATCTATGAATCAAACGTCTCTTAAGTGTCGTTTAACATCACTGATATTTTAAAGCATTATTCTCTAAGATCATCACGCTTTTTCTTTTTCTTTTTCTTTTTTCTTTTTTAGCAAGGCAGTGGAGAGGCCTCTGAATTGGGTGTTCTTTGTGAGTTGCCCTCACGCCCACCAATGTATGAGGTTGTGTTGTGTCTTGTCCAACGTGCAATTATGTTCCATATTCTGCCCATGCAAGTGGGTCCACGTTTATTTTTGCTAGGCCAATTGAGAAACACAAGAAAACACAATAGAAGACGTTTGTTATGTATTCGTCTTTATTCTAAATTATGATTTATGATTCTTTATAATATTTTTTTTTATAAAAAACACACATAAAACGAGAATGATTCTGAATTTATGAATTAAACGTGTGTATATCAATATATATATATTATATTTATTTAACCAAAGTTCCTTTATACACGCGCATACATAATATAATGGAATAGGTTTGGGAAGGGGCAACCTTCTTTGCAGACGCCCTCTCGAAGAAAAACAATCTCCATCCCCGTCTTTGTCGTGTTAAAATATTAAACGACCTGTTTGGTTCATAAATTTAAAGCAACTGAAATTCAAATTTTAATATAAAAATACTGTGTAACAAAATCATTGCTACTGGGGTCATCCCTATTTTACCAAACTTGCTTTAAATCTACAAAAATAAGACGTGTTTTCTCATGTGAGTTTAGGTACGCGAGAATACCTTAACTTTATTTCAAAATTGAAATAAATAAATAAAATGCCTAGCAACATATGATTTGCATAAGATAACACGAAACAACAAGTTTTATACCTTAAATTCCACTTAAAATTATTATATTTATAACACATGCATAATGTATTTAATTTAAGAATGAGATGTATATAAATGAGACGAGTAATCGGGTAATGATCAGATCAGAGACTCCTAAACGTGTGCCCATCATGTTACTCTGCAATATATTAAAATTTTTAACAATTTTTTTTAAAAACTTTTTATAGCCCGAAACCGTTCAAAGCAAATTTATCATGCCCTATACAAGGTGAAATTCCAGGGATAAATGGGTTTTCATATATAAAATTAACCATATCCCTATTGCAGGGTGCGAATGTTTTTTTATGCCTTTTTCTTCAAGGGAATATGCCCTTTTTAATTGTAATGAGGTTTGTCTAATCCTAGAATTAGGGATAACATTGTGCCTTGTTGCAAATATTTAACCTCTACTCTCTTGTGTAGTTTGAACAGCTGTTTTAATGCTAATAAAAGAGAAGATCAATAAGTAGGCTTATTTTTTTATTAAGAAATTAGATGATCCCAGGGCCTATTAGAAAAATCAATGGAACATGACAACTAGATAATTTGTTTTTCCTGGTAAGAGTCAGTATGTATATATATATATATATAT